TTCCTCAGGTTGCCTACCCCGTCGCTAACACGAAGCCAGCCCATATTTTATTTTCCTCAGCCATTCGTGCTGTCGCCTCGCGCGCATTCGGGAGTTCTATTCTGACCGCGTTCTGGCATCAAAAAAAAAATCAGTCCCATCGACATTTTCGCCCCTGTCCTCTACCCCTTTCAAAGCGACCTATATTTGTACCTACATCTACATGTCTCTAATTATCTCCGATTTCAAATTACGCCTTCAATCGAGATCTATAACCGCGACGGTGACCTTTTCAGAGCATTAGCATACACGTTCCGTGATCGGCGATCGCATTGCGTCCAGTCGCATCCACTCACATTATAACCAGTGGAACAAGGAGAAGGGTTTCTGAGTCTTTGCCTGCCAAAAGGAAAAGAGAGAAGAAGAGATTGGGAAAGCTTCGCCTGCCCAAGAAACTGCTGCAGACAAAGCTGTTAACTAGGACGATCGATCGATCGATCGATTACATCAGAACTGCGACGAGGGATAGAAGAATTTGAAGCGTATGAAATAGAGGTTGCAGTTTGGCGTCGATATCCACGTCGTGGATAGTCGACTTCTGGAGAAATGATGGCGAGCATAGGACCCGGTAGCTTCCACCCAGGTATGCAGCAGCATCCCGGTGCCCATCCGGGACACCCCATGGGCGCTCCCGGAATGGCTCATAACCCAAGCCAACCAGGAGCTCAGCCTGGTATGCCTCCTCAGATGGCTGCCCATATGGCTGTGTCTGGACCCGGTGGACAGGTCAATCCGGCTGCTATGATGGGAGCTATGCCTCCCGGTGCTGCCGGACCTAACGCCCATGCCTTACAGCACCTGAACCCCCAGCAGCAACAGCAGATGTTCCAGCAGCAACAGCAATTTCGTAAGCCCAGATTTTTGCTTAGCTCCGGTTTAATATGATATCGAAAACGATCGTGTCTTGCTAACAGCCCGTAGTAGCAGCTCAAAATCCCCAAATGATCGCCCAGATGCAGCAGCAAAGGATGTTACAGCAGAGGCAGGCATTATTACAACAACAAATGTACGCAGGTATTCCTATGAACATGCAGGGAATGAACATGGGTAACATGACGGCGGCCCATCTCTCGGCTATAAGAAACTCGGCGAATATGCAACGAGTCGGCGGCAATATGCCCCATTTGCAGCAGGCGCATCTCGCTCAACCGGGACAGCATCAAAATCCCCAGCACACGCAGGTACTTATGCGCATCCTGAAACCTTTTTAGTATACAAGTTATCCTAGGCTTCTTGCTGACAACCATATCCATTTACAGCATATGCTCGCGCAGCAGTTAGCAATGCAACAGCACCAAGCTCAGCAGCAAGCGAATAATCAGATGCACCAGGGAAATCAACCTGGTCATCCCGGGCAGATGAACCCTCAGCAAATCCAAATTCAACAGGCACAAATAGCGCAATCAATGGCGCAACAGGTCCCCCCGGGTCCTCAGGGTCAGGGACCGCAGCCTCAACCCCAACCTCAAGGGCAGCCGCAACAGCAAGGGCAGCCCCAGGCACCGCAACAACCGGGCCAACAGCAACCCGGCCCGCAACCGGGCCAGCAACCACAGCCGAGCTCTCAAGGCCCCCAGAGAGTCCCGACGCCGGCTGTCGCGCAACCAACCCAGCTGCAGAACCCGGGATCCAATCCCGCACAGGGCAACCAACCGCAACAACCTCAAGGCCAAGGACAGGCGCCCAACGGTCAGCAAAGCCAGCCTCAACAGCATACGCCGCAGGCTTTACAGGCAGCTCATATGCAGCTGCCAAATACCATCCAGCAGCAGTTATTACATCATCAGCACAAAAGTGATAGCATGAAGGGCCATTGTCTGATAAAGCTGCTTCAGTTCGGCGAGCAGCTTAGTAGCTATCGTATTAGCGTTAGTCTTTTCCTACCTAATCTCGACCAGCTACCTGGGTCTTACACTTGATTTAAGACTAAGCACTGACATTATTCGCTTAGAATGAGGTCCCACGACCAAAGGATGACCTTACGTACTGGAATAACTTTGTCTCACAATTCTTCTCGCTTAGAGGCGTCTTCAGGATCTCTCTATTCTATGTCGGCAGCGACACGGGAAATGAAGAGCATACGGATAAGCAGTACGAGATAACACAGCCTGCGCTAGCACGATACTTCCACACGCACTACGAGAGTGGAATCAAAAAGATTAATTTGACATTCGAGAAGGGCCTCACTGACAGACCGTTACCGAACGGCTGCCATTTTATCGAGAATATTAAGGCACACTTGACCTATTGGTTTGAACATTCTCACGTAAGTTGCGCAAGCCGTCGTAGTAAATATAACTTGGGTCCTAATGACTTGGTGATTAGGTCGTTGCCTCAGGAACACTGCGAGCCCAGTTTGATAGCGAGCAAAAGCTAGACGTTTTAGAATTTATCACTCAAAAGCACGAAGAATATCACTCGAGGAAGATGGTTACGGAAGCGGCGAGACCCGCACACAATTGGGTCAAAGAATGGCTTAAGGTCAATGGTCAGGATTCGCGATTGTCTCCCGAGATGAGCAAGAAGGGCAAGGCGAAGACGATGAAGTCGCCGCCAAATCCACCCCCTGATATTGACCTGCCACCATCAGCTGTCAAGCAGAATATAGGCCTCACGGAAGCCGTATTCCAGTTTTTGGAGGTACGAGCTTTATTTTATTTTATTATTATTTTTTTAAAGAAAAAAAATAATTAATAAATAAAAACGCGCGTTTGCTAACATGGTATGTCTCAGATTATAGAGGTCGTTGGACAAATGAATGTAAGTTAAACATATCCGATAAGATGTCACGTCTCCTGTAAGCCTACCTCCATACTAACTTGCGAAATTACCTAGCCATTATTCAACTTTTATCATTCACACCCGGGTCTTTCGCCTTATGCTGCGCTTGAGCAGTACGTCAATCAGAATATTACCAATGCCTCTCAGCAGCCTCTAGTAAACGGTCAACCCCCGAGCAACGGTCCGCCCAACCCACGGACTCCTAGTTTCGGCCAATTCCCCATGGGTGCTTCGCCGGCTGCCGCGCATCTACAACTTCCGAATTCTCCCCACATGGGCAGCCCTGCTCAGGGGCACATGCAAGCACCTGGCATGCAATTACAACAGAGTCAGCAAGGAACGAGTTCTAGCGGGCCCAGTGCTAATACGAGTCCAGCAAGCAACAAACGAAGGAGGCCTTCCACAGTAAAAGCCGAGGAGGAAAACGGCGCTCCTACACCCGCGAGCATGGGGGTCTCTCAGGTTAATGGCGTCGCAATGGCCAACAAGAAACCACCCGGAACTCCTCGATTACAGAAGCGCGCGAAGGGTAACCCGGCGTGATATCCCACACCCTCTGGTGTAAGCACGTTTAAGGAAAGGGAATGGAATTATAATAAAGCTGGCATATCGGCGTCGCTTCTGGATACGGAATTATGTACCGTCGTTCGATTTCGGCTCGGTTGCTTTATACGCAGATGTACTACATCGGCCGGACGTTTAGGATTTGCATTATTTTGAGGATTAGGAAGGTTTGGAGGCACTAAGCGATTCCCACCCACGATTTGACGTTTCTGACAGGGCCGAATTAATTACTTGATATTTCTATCTACATTATCTATTCCCAATGGGGAAAAGCAAAGAAAAATAGGCGTTAATTTACGGTTGTGCTATTTGACTCGAGCCGCTTATAGGGGTTATATGCGGATACAATTATGTCAAGGGATAACTCGATTCCAGGCAGAGATTCGAAGTATTCACCCCGTGTACGATTATTTTCCATTGCATCAGGCCTCGAATAGCTCTCTTGGACACGCGGTGTCACTCATGCTTCTTTTTCTTTTCCTTTTTTTTCTGTTTTCTTTTTATTCTAACAAAAATGTCAGGCGCGAGTAGATGTAGGGTGGAGGCAGATAAGGGTAGACCAAAGCAAGTCGAACGTTATTAGGTGGAAACGAAAGACGGTTACATGTAAGCATCGATACGCGCGTCTTCCGGTGCGCTCATTCGGATCGGAATACGCATTACACTTAACAGTCTTCTCCGTGTGATTGAGATCAACGTGAGGTGTAGACGTCCTTACCCCTTATTACTGTATCTAGTTCGCTCATATCGATTTTACGACTGCAAAAAACATAGTAATACCAACTTTCCAGCCTCCAACTATTTTCACCATGTGATACTAAACTGCCTAGAATTCCCTTGCATCTGGAAATATTATAAGCTAAAGGTCTACGCCAGAAAAGGGTCGAATACGAATAGTATCTGAAGTAGTCGAAGATGCCTTACCCACCACCACGAAGCCAGGGGGGGCAGAGGGTAAGAATATAACTTCGCTGTTCCATTAGGAATTGTAGTCTAACTACGGGAGTCCGCGACTATATATACCGAGGTACTGAAGATATTCTTATTCTTCCCAAATGTCTCCTTTAGAATCCTAACAGGCCGGCGACATATCATGTATATATCATAGTCACGAAGCTAGCAGGTCCAATATCTCCAGCTCCACCACTTCTCAAAGCCGTGTATCTCCAAGAGCATACCCCATTGATTCGTCCAACCAATCAGAATACTTAATATTTAGGGTTCTCCGCGTAGACTTCCAACGCTGCCTCAATAACTGTCCAGGCGAACTAGGTAATGAGTTCCGAGTGGTCTGAGATCTGGCACTTACATGGCCTCTACCCTTGTTATTGGCAGCATCAATCTACCATACAGCTATGTAATAGATCAAAGTATTTTTCAGCTGACTTTGCATACGATTTAATCAGACTCCAAATAGTGGTGCATATCAACATAACTGAGAAGAGTCTAGAAGCCTAGGGAGTAGCAGAAATAGTGACCCTTGGACAACTACGTACTTGTTTACATGGTATCCTGTTTGGCTCAGTACCCATTTTCGACACAATAGTATCGACCTACTACTTAGGCATAAGTAAACTGACTTGGAAGCCAACTACGATATCTGCAAAAGCCGCAATGGTGAGATGGCCGAGTGGTTATGGCGCTGCGTTCAGGTCTACCTGAATCCTAGTAGGATCCTATCTATAGGGTATAAAAATTTCGCAGTGGAGCAATCCGCGTGGGTTCGAGTCCCACTCTCATCATCTAGAATCCTAGATTTGTCCCGAGACAACTAGTTAAAAAAGTAATCTTTTGCACTGATCAGATACAATTATGTTTTTTTTTTTTTTTTTTTTTTTTTTTTTTCTTTTGTACTATTTAAATTGGTCTTCTTTCCCCATCCATCTCTTTGACCCTCAATAAAATCTTGCTTGCTTGCTTTTCATACTTATATCACCTATGTCCCCAAGTGCGAACTAGACACAAGTATATACGCTACTTATATCAACAAACCAAAACCTCTAAAAGAACGAGATATACTACTATCGTAGAAATAGTCGAGAAGAGCTCAACCAGTCAAATTGAACCGAGCATTGTCTTGTGCCTAGTTGGCACTTGAGGACATATACTTTTATAACGGCTCAAAGCGATTCAAGTCAGCTTATGTAGGGATATATCTGATTACATCCCGTAAACTAGGCTCCGTATGGTAAATACGGTGTCCTGACCATTAGTTTGGCTGAAGTAATATCATATGTAGCATCAAAACGACCGAAGGACGTTCATCAACGAGAAGAAGAGCGCACCTTGTTAAACAAGATCAAGATAGTTCCGCGCTTATACGTCGTCTTCGTGGGCCCTGGGTTCAATCTTCCAACTTATATCCTTTCAATACTCCTTCCTTTCACATCGTATAGACAGGAGGTTTATCAAGAAGATATAAGAATGCGGAAACAATGCTGAAGCTTGCAAAGCTAATGCAGAAGGCGGATGTATACTATATGAGCATGCATGGGGTATATCGGGGATATTTTGCTTAGCAGTCTTCCCATAGAATGGACTGTGTTCAAGTCTTGCTATACATGACGCTGTAAAACAGTTTAAATTGGAACCGCAGATTTGAGACTTCATTAGACATGACTACTGGCTGACACGGGGAAAGGACATATAAAGTAGATCTAGGACATGAATTCTCAATTACACAAGTCACTTCAAGTTCCAAATACCGAAGGTGAATATTCATAGACAGGCTACACTGATATTGATGATACGAAATCAAAAAAAGGGGTCTATCTAATTTGTCACCTACACACCTGGGAGAGGAACGTGATTAGGCAGGCAAATAGACACAACCCCTATCAACTATCCGTCGTGACCATTCCCGTCCCTATCCATAGTTCATCGCCTCTAATAATCGCATCGTTGTCGTCCAGCCCGAGATAAACCGTTAACGCCGTTTGGGAAATCCGAGAAAGAGGAAGCCTTAGGCAGTATCGCCGAAAGTATTCTCGCCCGAGTAGGTTATGTAGAGGAATCTGCGAACGACAAATCGGTCAGCATGCCATATCGTCTCGATGAAGAGCAAATGTAAAGGGTCAAATAGAGGCTAACGTACCCGTCTTCGTCCTTGTGCTCTTCATAAATGCTACTCATGAGAGCAGCGGTTGGAGGTAGGACCTCATCAACGAAGATGAAAATGGCCTTTTCCGGAGATAGCTTGATGCGCTTGCGGATGACGTAGACAAACTGGCCTACGGTAAGATCTGCGGGGACGAGGTACTTCTTCTTGTCGATTGTCGCGATATCCGATTTCTCAACCTTCTCGCAGATAACCTATTGGCAGAAATATTTGGTTAGATCTAGGGTCATATTTGAAAGGGAGGAGGGGAGCGGAGAGTAAGAGGAAATAGAGCGGTGAGGTAGCGGGTGTGGAATGCCAGAGGGGAAGAGGGATGATAAGAGCTAGGAACGACTCGGACGGATGAAGATATTGGGAGATAGAGATGGAAAAAAAAAAAAAAAGAAAAAAAAAAAAAAAGATCATACTACATACCGGAATACGGTCGGCATACTTCTGGCGGATGCGCTCGGCCTCGGCCTTGCGCTTCTCAAAGGGGTGTTCGTCCTTAAACTTTGATCGCATCTTGACGGATGATGCTCGTTGGCAATAACGAGACGGGCAGCGGAAGATGAGGAAGAAATGCGAAGCGTGTTGAGAAATGAAGTAGATTGGTTAAAGAAGTAAAAGACGACCTGAAAGTAGGAGATGGATAATTTTCTTCTTCTTTTATTGGCGTTGATCTGATGAGGATGGTGATGATGATAATGATGGATGGATAGATGGATGGTTACGATTACGGGTTCTTGGTTTTGGTAGAGGTGTTGAAGACTTGAAGTTTAGGTTGAAGGTTGGAGGCACGGGTTTGGTTTCGGGTGGGGGGGAGGAGTCGTGCTAAATCCAAGGCAACCTTTCCCGGTCCCAGCAGCCCAGGTGATTTGGGTTTGATGACCAAAATTGCATTACTACCTACATAGGTATGTACATACGTGTAGTGTGTAGGCAGGTTGTGTAGGCAAGTACGTGTGAGGTTAGGTACCTAGCCATGAGTTGCTACGTAGTAGAGTCACAGATAGATTACGTAAGCTTGCAATTGTCTGATAAGTTATGTATACATACGCTACTTTGCTCTTAAATGTGCATTAGTTACCAGGTAGGTAGTTACACTAAGGCAGTATAAGGAGGTTCGCAGCTAGGTATTGGCGGGGCAGGAATAGAGAGCGGGGCTAGAGGCTTGCGGGTGTTAGTGACCGGTGACTACCTAAGATGAGCAACAGGTACCTAATCTAATAAGCTAATAACATAACGTGACCGAACCAAAATAGGATTAGTTGGTTCTGTTTTATAAGGGAAACCTCCTTTCCTTCTGATCGCCTATTTAGTCACGACGTAGTGTCACTTGACCGCTACAACCATGATAAAATACACTTGCTACTTAGACAAGCCCCCTGAGCCTTTGGTCTCTGACTACCTAAACATAACGGAATGACGTCGAAACAAAAGAACGTACATAAATTATCTGCTATCCCTAACTTCCATGCTATAAGTACATATACATATACCTGAGGACTTAGGCACATATAACTAAGGCATTAGGTAATACATACCTAACATCCCCGTCCTTACCTAAGGTACACATAGGTAGGTTCAGTACCTTTGTACAATAGTTACCTCCAGACTTCCCCCGGGTTTAAGTATACCTTAGGTACCTAGCCCCTTTACCCCTTTACCATTTTGTCCCTTTACCATTTTACCACTTTACTATTAGCATCAAACTTACTAGTATGTAAGCCAGTCGAGTAGCTCAATAAAGCTAACTCAGCCATAGAAGCTATGGAATACAGGAATACAAGAGCTCGAGCCCCTTATCCATACGTCCAAGGGAATTGGGCTATTTTATAACTAACATAACCTGTCTTTTCAATTTTTATTGCGAACCATGTTACATCGTGCGCGGTCCTCCCTCTCCTTTTCTTTCCTTCTCAGCGGATCACCTCCCCTTCCTTGTCGATGCCTTCTTCCATCTCCAAGATGTCGCTCCCAGCCAGAACACCGCTCCCAAGCGTAGTCGCCTTGCGTGATGCTGCCTATACCTCATGGAATTTGACACTCTCGTCGCTGCTCGCTACCACGATGCAGCCCTCCTCAGCCGTGCGACTTCGTAGCCTCTCTTTTGTGCGGTATGTATCGCTCGGACCACCCGGGTATGCTATAGCGTATAGCGCGCGGTGCTCGCCCTCCTACGGCACGGCAGCAACCTGTCGGCAATCTGGCCAGCTGAATACGGCGATGCGGTACGGATGGTCAGGTTGTGCATATCCAAATGTCGCGGCAATCTCCCGTCGAGTCGTGCTCCATATGAGAGAAGTAACCTGAGCCGCAACCGAGATGGTGGCAAGTGCAGCGCCAGAGTTTGCGTGGTAAAAGTGAATGCATTTGTCATTAGATCCTCCCCCGGTGGCAATCAACCCTTGGCGCCACGGGCAGAATGCGATAGCTTTCACGGCTGCCCCGTGTTGCCACCGGTGTTTCTCGGAGCCGGCGGGGAAAGATCTCAGCGCCGACGATGGATCGGGGCTGTCGGAATTAAATTCGTGCAACGAAAATGAAGCACCGTCCCCAGGGTGCATAGCATGTAGCGAGGCAGGTTGTTGTTCTTGGTCATTAGCCGTGTTCGCTATTGATAGTTTCGAAAAACCCAAGCTTAAGTCGGCCTCTACATCTATGAGACCGTCTATAGCGAAGAGGCAGCATAAGTTGTCGTTTCCTCCAGTAGCGAACTGTCTGCCGTTAGGAGACCAGGCGAGACCACATATTTGCTGGCAGTGAACTTTGATATGAGCAAGTAAGGTCATCGCACCGTGCCAGTTTTCCCGGGCCACTTCCTAGGGCTCGGGCCATTCTACTGCGTAATAATAGACGTCACCCAGGTCATCGCCCACAAGGAGATCTTCTGTATTGACTAGAACACCAGGATTTCGCTTGCTTCGAGAAGCTCGCGGGGTGGAGGCGGGGCGCCAGGAAAGGCAGGCTATGGGTGCGGGATGATACGTCTCGAAGCGGGGAAGTAGACTGTCAAAAAGTGATACTAACGATAGTAGTCCGCTTGAACGGCCGAACGCTAGTATTGACTTGCCGCCCTTCTCAGATGAGAATGCCACCGAAGTTAGCCACGAACCATCCTTAAGCCCCGCATTTAGAAGTGTGACGCCTGAAGCTTCTGACCACCCATAGAGTAGATTGCCCAACCCCACCGCCAACGTGTTACACGTGTGGGAGTACGCCATAACCGAGCAGTAGAAATCGTCCCGTAAGCCCGGGGCATCAAGGACCCTGGCAGATGTTAACGGGTATGTCGCTGGAAGGGGAAGCTTACGCACTTGAACGGAGCATTAGGGAGACACCGCTCTTCTCTCTGGATCTCTGCGACCGCGTCAGTCTCGCTAGGTTAAAGGAAAGTATGGAGTTTGCATACTGGGAACATAACCGTCGTTACTCCACTCGCTTCCCGTCCATGTTGTCTTGGCCTCTCGCAATGGGGGTCGCCCTTTGGGTTTACAGCGAGGAAAAGTAGAATACCCGTCAAAGTCTAAAATCCGCTGGATTCGGTCTATCTTCAGCGCTAGGGCGATTCTCCCTTCATGCTTCTCTTGCTCGTCTTCGGATTTGGGCTGGGAATTCGAAAATGTAGTGGTATATAGACGG